AATCATTCACTAATATTTGTAGTCTTTGAAGTAACTTTTCTTCTGTTGAGTCTTATCTCTTGCAAAGTTCACCAGACCTACTTGCTCTTTATGAGACTAATTTGAGTTCATCTGTCTAATCCTGTGATCTCAGTGTTGATGGTTATCTTCCTTTAATTCATTAAGACTCTAATAATCACATGCTTGGCCTGGGCATTTACATTTGTAAGAATTCACCCATTTGTCGGGAAACTAGGTTTGAATCCACAGACTATTCTTTTATGTGCTTTTGTTTAGCACCACTTCACTCTATCGCCTCTTTCTTTGTTCTATATCGCTCTCCTTCATTTCAAGACTGCACTCATTTTGATGTTACTTTTGATCATATTGACCAAGCCCTTTCTCTTTATCCATCAGCCAATATTGTTGTTGTCGGTGACTTAAAGGCTAATCACACTGAATGGCTTGGGTCTAATGTCAGTGACTCTGCAGACATTAAAGCCCACAACTTTTGCCTTTCTCAATCCCTAACTCAAATAGTCAACTTTCCAACTCGCTTTCCAGACAACCCGAATCATTTACCTTCTCTACTTGACTTATGTCTTGTTTCTGATCCTAATAAGTGCTCAGTTTCTCAGCGTTGACCCTTGGGTGCTTCTGATTACAGTTTGATCTCTCTAAAACTATTATCTCATTCTTCCTCGTCATCTGAATCCCCCTATCATCATACATCTTACAACTATCTTAAAGCTGACTGGGACACTTTCCGTGATTTTCTTTGTGATGGCTCTTGGGCCATCACAAAGAAAGTCACAGAAAGTTTCTGTGACTGTTTCTAAGTGCTCCAAAAACTCTAATACGTCTAGTTTTTTTCCTCTGACATCAGTTTTTTGGAATTTGCTTACTTCATCTTGCTTTCCTGATTCATATAATTTGCAATCTTTTAAATTGTCTGTCTATCATTATCTTGTTCAACAAACTTCATCTTCTCTCTTCCAGTAACTTTCAACTCTAATTTTTTTAAACATCTTCGCTTCCAACAAGGCTGCAAGCAACCACTAATTAGTGTTGGAAGTTAATAGAAGAGAAAAGATGAAGATTGTAAAGCAAGATAACGATTGGCAGATGACTTAAAAGATTACAAATTATATGAATCAGGAAAGCAAGATAAAGGAAGCAAATTCCAAAGAACTGACGTTCAAGGAAAAAAACTAGACGAGTAAGAGTTTTTGGAGCACTTAGAAACAGTCACAGAAAAAGGATGAGACTTAATTAAATGACGAGTAACACAAGAGTGAATTTTAGTAGATGGCACAAGAGACAGTGCCCATTATAGTATTTGTAGAAAAGAGAAGCAACATTACGACGATGTGATAATGGTTGAAGTTTGGCTGCAAAAGCAGATCCAACTATGTTTACAATTCGTTTTTGAAACTTATCTAAAAGAGAAAGGCCATCATTAGAAGATCTGCCCCAGATATGGCAACAGTATTCTATACAAGGTCGGATTTGAGATTTATAGAGATAGAGACTAGAATCCAGAGTAAGAAAGTGTCGAGCTTGATAAAGAAATGCAACTTTAGCAGATGCTAATTTTGCAACGGATTTAATATATGGTTTCCAAGGAAAATCAGAAGTAAGAGTTAATCCAAGAAGATTAAGGATAGATGACTCATCAAGTACATTACCGTTCATAAATATAGGAAGATCTAAATTATTGCTATAACGATTGGCTAAAAAATATTGAGTTTTATATGAATGAAAGTTCACCAGCCACTGTTAGCCCCATGCTGTAGTAGAAGTGAGATCCTTTTCAAATGTCCCCTCCAAGCAATCAGAGAGAGTTAGCTTCTTATCATGACAAGATTAAATGGTAGTATCATCAGTGAACAATGCCACCTTAAATGTGAGAATATCTGCAAGATTGTTAATGTAAATTCAAAAAAGTATAGCGCCAAGGATTGAACCTTGAGGAACCCCTGAGGTTACAGAAAAATAAGAAGAGTGCTGTCCATCAAGGACAACTTTTATACCATGATTGGAAAGGAAGGATTCAATAATCTTAAAGATGTTTCCAGATACACCATAAGTTGATAGCTTATGGAGAAGAACAGCATGTTAAACTTTATCAAACGCTTTAGAAATGTCAAGAGCGTTAGCCTTAACCTCTCCACCTTTATCTAATGAACAATAAAACCTGTTGGTTATTTCTGTTAGCAAATCAGCCGTAGCACAAGAAGATCGAAATCCATATTAGTGATCAGAAAGTAAGTTATTAGTTTCAAGATGAGAGAATAAGTGTTTGTTAATTAAAGATTCAGTAACTTTGCTTATGATAGGAAGAAGACTAATAAGACTGTAGTTTGACAAATTAGATCGCTCTCCCAAATTATAAAAAATAGGGATAACAGATCCTGCTTTTCAGCAGGCTGGAAAACAAGACTCTGATAAGCACTTGTTGAATAGTTTTGAAAGGATAGACGACAGCTCTGGAGAACACTTCTGCAAGACTATAATAGATATGTTGTCCGGGCCACAAGCTGTTCAAGAGCCTAAGCAGGATATCACTTAAGATAGTAAGTGAGTATTGATCCATTGACATTGGTATTATTCCAGTAGCTGGAATAATACCAATGTCAATGGATCAACGTGTTTGATGGCTATATCAGGTAGAATGCATCTAGTGGAATCAAGAGATAATATTTATAAATGGTTTTTAGCAAACAATTCAGCTTTGTCTTTAGGTGAGGTGACAAATTCTGAACCATACAAGAGAGTTGGAATTACAGATTTGCCCTTATTATTGATACTATTAAAGATTCTCCAGAAGTCACAAGAGCCTAATTTTTGTGATTAAATACGAGATTTAATGACCTGAGAGTAGCGGGCTTTGGCATTAGACAACCTTTTTACAATGGCTCCTAGCAGTAATAAACAGTTGTCTATTTTCTGGAGAATTGTTTTGCTGAAAGATATGGAAGTAACGGTTTCGGTTGGCAACTGCAGCAGCACAATGTGAGGAAAAGCATGGAGAAAAGTGAGGCTTTAACTGGAATCATCAAGAGGGAGTAAAGTATTCCTTGCCAACCTGAATCCATGAAGTTATGTAAAAAACACATTTGTCAACAGGAAAATGAAAGATTTCTACCCAAGGGCCATCACAAAGAAAATCACGGAAAGTGTCCCAGTCAGCTTTAAGATAGTTGTAAGATGTACGATGATAGGGGGATTCAGATTACGAGGAAGAATGAGATAATAGTTTTAGAGAGATCAAACTGTAATCAGAAGCACCCAAGGGTCAACGCTGAGAAACTGAGCACTTATTAGGATCAGAAACAAGACATAAGTCAAGTAGAGAAGGTAAATGATTCGGGTTGTCTGGAAAGCGAGTTGGAAAGTTGACTATTTGAGTTAGGGATTGAGAAAGGCAAAAGTTGTGGGCTTTAATGTCTGCAGAGTCACTGAC